GAATGTTGGCCATTAAAAGAGAAGCATAATAATAAGTTAAGTGTTGTTGAGATGAGAATGATTAGGTGGATGAGTGGCTTTACACTTAGAGACAAAATGCGCAATTAATATATTCGTGATAGGGTTGGTGTAGCTCCTGTGAAGGACAAAATTAGAGAAAGTCGTCTTAGATGGTTTGGCACATTAAACGTCGACCATATGATGATCCAATTAGGAGAGTAGATGTTTTAGATTCGACTTGTGTTAAGAAAGGCAGAGGTAGACCTAGGAAGAGTTGGGCTTATTGTATTAAAAATGATCTTAATTTACTAGAACTAAATGAAAATATGACACTAAATAAGACGCAATGGAGAAAAAGGATTCATGTAGTCGACCCCACGTAGTGGGATTAAAGCTTTGTTGTTGTTGTTTTTGTTGTATTATTATTATTTTGTGCTTGAACTTGATGTACATTTGACAAGAAATGAATGATGAGAAACATGAAGGTAATAAAATGAATAATTTATATATTATTTAACGCATTGAAGAGAGAATTTTATTTTTACATAAAGCTAATTTGATTGGTTATAAAAATTTTAAAAGTTGTAAAGATGTGACAAGATACTTTGTTATTGAAATAGAGACTCAACCTTACAAACCTATTATTACTATTGCATATCGGATTAAACTTGAGAGAGGTTGAGTGAAAATTGACAATGATGACTCTATCTCCTAAGGTTGCTTTGGATTTGGGGGTTTAATTAAAAATCACTTTCGTAAACTAACTATGGCCTTTGCTGGTCCTTTTGATCCCTACAATATTTTTCTTTTTTGAACTTTATGTTCTTAAATACAATCTTTATGTGGTTGATGCTTTAGGTTTTGATAAATTGATGACTAAACTAAATGATGTTTTTGTTATCCATTAGGTTAAACTCTTTTAAAGGCTCTACTATATGTAATACTACATCATTCTTCCTTCCTTTGAATGTATACTTAACCACATCTTTAGGGAAGGTAATGCATGTGTTGATTGGTTAGCTAAACTCAGTACTAAACTAGATATAATTGAATAATTTTTTTCCTAGTAATTGTTCTTTTGAATTAAATGATATGATCTTGCTTGATAAAATTGGTCTCCCTTATCTTAGAATTTCCAAATGATTTTCTATTTTTTTAATTATGGTTATTTCTGTATGATTAGGTTTGCTACTGGTTTTGTGGTGAAGAGGGGTAATTATGATTGTTATGATGATAAACCTCTTCTATTTTCCCTTATAAAGTCTATTAAGGATTGATGAAACTAGTGCAGAAATAACTTTATATGCCCTCTTGTTCTAGTGCTTTTGAAGTTGTCATTTCTTTTTTGAAATGTTGTTAGTTCTAGTATCTTATTATGAGTATGGGGGTCGTTATTGGTGGTTTTATATGAATTTTTTTTTTACCTTTGAATGTTTCTCAAACTTCTCATTTTAAAAAAATTTTTTTTGTAGTTCTTTCTCTTTTTTGAGGTTCTAATTTACCCTCTCTTTTGAGCTGATGGTATTTCATTCCATGTTATATGTTATTCCATTTTATCATTTTTTCGAACCTGAATTACATTGGATATACTACTAGAAACCTGTTCTCATACTATTAATATTATTCTATTTGTCATTAATAGTAACTTGAATTCTCATTCTAGTAATAAGCTTATTTTATAGAGTAATAGCTTAGTTTTGAATTTTATTTATATATTTTTTCTTTTTACAGCCATAATTAGGGGTGTAAACTAGCCGAGCTCAAGCGAGCACATGCTCGGCTTGTGTCCAGCTCATTAAAAAATATAACTCTGTGTTCGACTCGTTTATATATCGAGCTCAAAAAATTTGTTTCTATTCAGCTCGTTTGCATATTGAGCCGAACACGAATTGTTCACGAACAAGAAGTCATTTTGACTATCATAATCACACAGCCACGAGATGTTAAGGATTGGGGTGAGATTTAAATTTTATTATTTATATTAAATATTCATTTAAATAGAATTATAATATATCTTTATTAAAAAATTTTAATTAATAATTTTAATGGATTATAATCTTGGTAGTGTTGTATGTGAACATGAGTTGTACTCATTCATTAATTCATTATATATATATATATATATATTATTTCGAGCTAAAATGTGTTGAACACGAGCGAACAAATCTTTTGTTCATGTTCAGCTCATATATATATCATTTACAAAAAAAAATTATTTGTATTCGGCTCATTTGCTTGAAGAACAAATTGAACATGAGATGTACGCGAACAACAAGCTATTTTGACAACCCTAACTATAATATCCTGTTGTGTGTTCTCTTTAACTCAAAGTGGGTTGCTTGGTTCAACATTTTGGAAAGCATTACTTTTTTTTATAATTTGCAATGGAAAAACAATAATATAAACATTCAATACTAGTCTTCATGCTTAATTGTCCATACCCTTGGAAACATTGTTGTTGTCTTTTTCTGCTTCTTATCTTAGCTATGCGATGGGTGTCCCGCATTTTAGTTCACTAACAAATTCCTTTCTTGGCTCCTGTCGTCTTGCTTGTTACTTATTATTAACTGCTATCTTCCTTGTTATATCCATAATATGTTGAAACTTGTGATTTTATCTATTAGCACACTTCATCTTAACTATGACTTCCAACATTTGTCTTTTATCTCCTATTACCTGGCTTTAGTTTTTTATGTCTTTTCTGCCCCTTTTTCTTCTTATGTTGTCAGTTTGGTACTGAACTTGATTTTTTACTTTTGTTCTTTTCTTCTCCTTTCGATATGAAGATTATTCTTGACTTGTTGAGACACTTTACCTTTGATTTCTTTACGGTTTTTTCAATCCATTTATTTTTCGTGTTTGATAAACAAAAATAACAAAGCCTCAACATTCCACTGAATGCCAAAAAAAAAAAGGGCGAAGATTTGATCCTAAAATACCGTCCAATCGATCAAATTGAAAACATCATGACTAATTGTAAACAATCAGCTTGCAAAGAGCACTATAAACTTTAAAAAAAAATTATATTTGTTGGATTCAGCTGTACATCAATGATGACTCTAACCAAAATTTTAAATATACACGGAAAAACCCAGCTACCCAGAAAATTTCACCAGAGATGGCCCTCATCGCTCCAGATTTGCATCCATTTTAAATACACTGTACATAAATCTGAAGAATTTCTCACCTGAAATCCAAGAATTCCTCGCGAGCACGTTTAATTATGCGTACTCAAGACTTCAGGGCCAGCTCCTCTCTCTGTCACTTTAGAAATCCTCTGAAATACTCATATCAGGTTTTCAATACTGTTCTATCGTGTTGCCAGATTGTAGTAATCCCATGGCTTCGGGAGCAATGGCTGCATCAATCCCATGAGCGTACTCGAATGTGGATGGCGGAAAATGTTCGATGGAGTTCAATGTGACTGATCCCGAGACAGAAGAAGGTGAAGGTTCGAGGTTTCCGTTGGCTCTTTTCTTTGGTCTCTTTGGTTTGGATGGCTTCTCATCCAGAACCATTGGGCTAGCTTCATCTGCCTCCATAGGTGATTCTGCAGGAGTGGAAGACTCCTGAGAAATCCATGATCTTGCAGAGTTTTGTTTGTCAGAACCTGATTTCCTCTGTTGTACATAAAAGGGGTTTAGAAAACAGAGAAATCAACCAAAGAGAACGAAACCGAGGAAGGAAAATACCTTTTTGTTGCTGGATTTTTTACTTTGCTTCTCAGCAGGTTCATCATCTGCACCTCGCAATTCAGCATTTTCAAGATCTTCCAATGATACCAATCCATCAGCATCGACTAGGATTTCCTTGTTTCCTCGTTTCTTTTTCTGTCGATCCTTAACCTGGTAAAATATAAATAAGAAACAGAAAAGTTTCCACTTGAATTCAACAGTTCTGATTGCAAACTCATCATGATTCAATTATAATGCTAAAGGGCAATTTGCAGAAGAGAATCAAACTGAAAGAGAGTAAGATACATCAATTATATTAAGGATCACAGTTAGTATTTTAATATAGCTATAGCTTTTTAATTGTTTCAAATTTTTTTATGATGAAGAAATAGCTTCGTACAACCAGATCTTCTAGTATAAAAATTACAAGAAAACTGCTATTCGACATCTCTAAGTAGTAAAAAGTCTAGATACCCAATTCCGCTACTTTTTCCGACACCACAGTGCACTGAGATGCAATTGATATTCCCCCGAGGCAAATCCTACAGCTAATACTGTCAAAGGCTATTTTCCCTTTTATTTTTATTTTTTTTTTTTTTTGGGGGGGGGGGGGTGCTCTCGGCTATGTTACCAACCAATATGATGTATGCTAGAGCATCAAAAACTATTTTCTTGAATGATAAATTAGAGCATGGCTAGCAAACTAAAATGCATGTTTTTCAAATTTGACCATCCTTAAGATTAGGGTTGTAGCCGAGCCAAGCCGACTTGAACAACTCGGGCTTGGCTTAATTAGTGGCTCACGAGCTAAAGCTCAATGAGCTGACAAGTCATGCTCGAGCTAGCCCCTGCTCATCTCATTAAGACCGGGCTCGTTTAAAATTATATTCAAAATATATTAAAATTCAACACTTTATTATTACAATTTTAAAAATGTTCCAAAAATGATCCTTCTATCTTTTATATCAACTAATTTCTTATTATTAATCTTATAATTGCTCATTCTATTTGTCAGTTTATCTTGAATTATTATTATTTTCACTTTCATAATAAACAAACTGCATTCTCAAACATGTAGAATTAAGAGCTCGAGCTCAAATTCAATTAAATCACCAAGCCTGAAATGACATAATTATTCCAAACCTGTAGTGGTATTTCTCTGAGTTTCTGCTCCAACTGGGAATCATCTAGCAACAAAGAAACAACATCTTCAGTCCTCAATAGATCACCTTGAACATGACCGCCCGTCATGACCAACTGCTGTACTGTATTTTTCTGGCTTGCTCTTTGCAAAATTTTTTCTTCAACGGTCTCTTTGCAAATCAACCGGTACACAGTCACCTTAAAGAAAGAGAAAGATATGAATAATGCAAAAGAAAGAGAAGCACAGCAGCTAATGTCAAATAAGCACGTATAATTTCGATTTACTTCATACTTGATGATTATTAGGGTAGAAAACCGCTGCTCAAAGGACCCCTAGTTACACTGATGTATCTAATATGTTTTTCTTTTCTTCTTTTTTTTTTTTTGGAAATTTACATTCGTAGCACACAATTTTTATGAATTTGTACAACCCACAACTAAACTTTCATATTTACAAACATAACACTTCAGTGTTTTAAACCTATACATGAAAAATGTATTTCACTTTGATAATAGTGCTATTTTTTGTGATATTAAAAATTTGAGTATTATGTGTGTAAATATGAAAGTTTATATATGTAATACACGAGAATTGTACGCTTTATATATTTCATGTATAAAGTCTATAAAAAATGAAACATAGCACAATATAGCAGTTGAGCAAGTTCAATCTAGTGATTGCATACCTCCTTAGTTTGACCTAAACGATGAGCCCTATCCATCGCTTGTAGATCTAGAGTCGGGTTCCAATCACTTTCATAAAAAATGACAGTATCAGCTGCGGTTAAATTTATTCCCAGCCCACCAGCTCTTGTACTCAGCAAGAAGACAAAAATGTCATTCCTGCAATACGCAATAAAATTATAAAATTGCAAGTTGGAGGAATACATTAACAAATAATTAATAATTAAAATTAGGGACAAAACCAAACAACGCATTGTTGAAAGAACATTAAAGATCTGCAGGACAGGCAAGGCTATTGATACCTGCGTTGGAAGTCTCTGACCATGTCACGACGGTCCATAATAGTGGATGATCCATCGAGTCTAAAATACTTATATTTTCTGTAATTCATATAATCCTACAGAACAATCAAAAAGCCCTTAGACCATGCGATAAAATTAAGGGGCATTAATATACATACCACCCAAATCTTTCATTCCATATATAAAAAACAACAAATTTAACTTTTGAAAAAAGTGAAATAAAGCTTTTCATGCAAAGGTAGGATCGCATGTATGTAAAAATTGAAGTTTAGGAATTAGATATGTAAATGCATAAAAATTGAGTGGTAAGTATGTAAATCTTCCTAAAATTAAATAAGCAGAGAAAAGATGAATGTCAAAAGATGATGTATATCAAAACTAGAATTTAGAAGCACGGGAGTCATTGGAGCAATGAGGTGAAACATCATGGAGATAAATATATACATAAGCTAGAATATAGAACCTAAAAAGACATTAGTGATGATCAATTTCAAAGTTGAAGCAAACTAAAATGCTTTTTCAAATTTGAAGCAAATAAGTGTTGCAAAAAGTGTACAAATGTTGCCACAAGCACAAAAGAATAGCAATACCTCAAGAATATTCAACATTCTTGTCATTTGAGCAAATAGAAGCACACGATGATTTTCAGCACGAAGGCGTTTCAGTAAAACGTCCAATGTTTGAAGTTTACCAGAATCCTGCAATAATAATTATAAAAAAAATTCAAGTGAATTAAGCAAAAAATTTCCACATTCTCTGCACATAGAAGCATAATATTATGTTCATGCAGCACGATCCATTTCTTTTATGGGTTCTTCAAAAGAGCTCGGTTTTTGTAGGAACTGGTTTTAGCTCTTTTTCCTATGGTATATAAAACATTAATTATTTATCATACTAAAAAATGCTCCTTTTAGGGGTTTATATGGGATCATGTTATGCAAGCTTAGCCTAAAAGCAATTTAGCCTTTTATTAACCCAAGGATAATTGAATCTTTTATTATTTATTATTGTTTAGTATAAACAAATCCTAATAGGTTTAGGGTTGGGGATGGATGAGGTTGGGGTTGCCTCAAGATTAGGATTTGGGAGAAAGTTCCTACCTCTCGGATAGTAGGATTTAAAAGAGATCGCTTAACCTTTATGTATTCGTGTTGAGTTGTTTGGTGTTCCAAAAACAAAATTACCCTTGGCCTTAATTTCTAAGTGAAATTTTTCCAATAATCATATCAATTAGTATCAGAGTAAGATTTCTGGAAAACAACAAAAAGGAGAAGCAACCGAAAACATCTTGATGCATTAAAGAATGTGAGATCGTCATACAATCGCAATTAAAGCTTGCGGAGAAGGAAATAACGAGATCACCGCTTTTCTTAGCGGAGAAGGCAACATCGAGATTGCGGTACGTGATTTGGTACAGAAAACAAAACTGGGATGGAGGCTTAAAAAACACGAAACTCATTCCTTCTTCGCGGAGAAGGCAATGACGGGATCGCGATACGTGATTTTGCGGAGAAAGGAATGACGGGATCACGGCTCATAGAGACCCGTCACTCCCATCTTTCGCATCCTCTGGCTTCCAAATATTGCGATCAAAGCTAGCTGGAAAAGTGTCAACGAGATTGCACCCATATTACACCCCCTCCTGCTCCATTTTGAAGATCGCGGCATATAGAGACTTGAAACTCGCGTGCTTGTTGGGAAGGCGATGACAAATCTTTCATCCCTTGTGAAGAACGACAAGTTAAGCTTGTTGGAAAGCATTGAGATTCAAGCAAATTTTTCTGAGCTAGGTGAGAAAATCATTGCTTCCTAATCGTAAAAAAGTCGCAATTCGAGCCAACTGACTGCAATCCAATCAAGAAAAATAGTCCCAATTCAAACCAACTGCGAGATCACGACATACAAGCGTCGAAAACGACATGAAGTAATGACGAAAAAAATAGATGATTTGGAGAAATTGAAGGAGCATGTGAGCCAAATCATATATAAAATGGAGAAATAGTTCTCATCATTAAAAGGGCGATTTACGTTCATAGAGGTGTGATTTTCGTCCATGGAGAGCAGATTTATGACCCTAGAAGAAATTATGAAGAGGTTGATCGAGTTTCACGCAAACCTAAAGCCACTTGCAATAGAATTGAGTGGCGACGACATGAGCAAACTCGAGCGGCAGTACTTGAAAGAAATTATGTAGCATCCAAGCAATTGGAAAAGTGTCGGCAGGCGGAATTGGACGTGCGATTTAGGACTGGAGAAGATCAATTCGAAGGATTTCGGGCAGGAACAAGGAACCACGGTGGGTGGTACACTAGTGGAGTGTTGCATTCAACTAGGAAAATGCCTTTTGTTGTAACAGTCTTTTAGGCGGAAGGCAAGCGAGGAGTTATGGGGGCATGAGGGTTGAATATGAGGCGAGTCGGACTTATGGAAAGAGGAAATTCAATATGGGATGCAAAACGGAACCCAACCCCTGCTTAGTGTGCGAAATGAACTTCAGTTGAGAGAATTGGGAAGTAGACTCGCGCATAAGGAAGTTGAAGATGTCAATCTTTGAAGAAGATGCCGCACACTGGTGGGTGTATCGGGTGGGGCTATATTTCACGGTGTTAGGTCTAAATGGGGAGGAGAAGCTCGTGGCAAGAGGGTTATATTTGGTAAAGAAAACCCTAACATGGTTTCAATGGAGGGAGGTTAAATACCTTATATCCTCGTTGAAAGAATTTAAGGATTACTTGTTCGAACATTTTCGAGTCATTTAGGTAGGAGACTTACACAAGCAGTTCTTTGCATTGACTCGAGAAGGGATTGCCATGAAGTATTGGGAGAGATTCGAGCTCTTACCGGGATGGTTGAAGGGGATTTCTAAAGTAGTATTGGAGAAAAATTTCATGAATGAGATAAAGCCCGACATATGTGCAGCACTCCAACTGATGAGACCAGAGAGATTGGGGGAGACGAAGAAGCTAACCCAAATGGTGGAGGACAAGAGCCACATGGAAAAGGGCAACAAAAGCACCATCATGGGAGAATTACACAAGCCTACAAGAGTAACTCTAAAACCACGAGACCAAAAACCAATATGATGTCATTTCAGGGGGAGGTGTCGTAGGAAAAAGAATATTGGGGTCCGTCCAGGTGTCAACTTCAAGCACCATACAGAAACAAATTCAAGAGAAGCATGCAAAGCGGTTATGCTTCTTGTGTGATGACAAATTTACCCCAAGGCACCGCTGCGAGGATCAGATATTAAAGGTTCTCACAGTGTGCGATGAGGGAGCATGAGAGCTTGATCCGACAACAATTTCCTTTTATCCAACTTGAGTACAAGGTACTTTTTGGGGAGGGGACTATTGTTACACCAATTTAGCCTAGGGGTAATTTAGTCTTTTATTAACCTAAGGGCAATTGAATCTTTTATTATTTATTATTGCTTTGTACAAATATACCGAAATAGGTTTAAGGTCGGGGATAGATGAAATTGTGGTTGTAAGTTTTAGGCTTAGGGTTTGGAAGATACTTCCTCTCTCTGGAGTAGTCAGATTTAGGAGAAATCGTCTGCCTCTTGAATTGTAGGTGCTTATCTTTTATATATTCGCGTTGAGTTATTTGGTGTTACAAAAATAAAATTATTATTGACCCTAATTTTTATGCGGAAATCAGCCAAGAATCACATCATACACCTTTTTTTTGTTTTCCATTTTATGTTTTTTTTATTTTTTTTATTTTTTTATTTCAAACAAAACATGTTAACTGTGACTGATTAAGATATGATTATTTTTTTAAAATGTTAAGAAGGCGTTTCGAGTGTTTTCAAAAACATGTTTAATTATTTTTAGAAACAAAAAATAAAAATATAATGAACCACATTAAACAACATGCTTGTGAAAACAAAGGAAAAATAAAAAGCAAAATTAATTCCAAACAAGCCCTTGGTAACTTGATATTTAAAATAATTCAACTTTTTAAATGCTACTTGATACTTTAGGAGTATTTCCATTACCGTAAGCATTTTAGCAGGGTCGAAGCTTTGGATGGGTGGACTAGAACCAAAGATCTTGTGTGATAGCTCAAGAACAGGCTTGAAACAAACTTCTTTCGTATTAATCTCTTCTATCAAGTGATGGGGATTAACGGGTCTTCTAGGCCCGTTAAACTCAGACGTACGAGCAAACCCAAGAAACAGCCTCTTTGCCCAAGGGTGGTGCAACTCCTCAACCGTTCGAAATGCAAAGTTTCTGTCAGAGCAATAAGCATTTATCTGTGAAGAGAACAAATAAAACGACAATAAGATATACAAAAAAAAGGTGAAAATACATTTCTATAATTTTTAATATGTTACACTCTTCAGGAAAAAGAATAGTTTTCGTTCATTTCAAAGCATACCAAAGGAGCCCGTGCTCGAGGTATAAATGCATAGGACGAACGCAAGAGCCTGATGTTCGATATTAGCCTTTCATGATGAGAAACAACTAGAGGTTCAAATGGAGCTTCTCCGGGACCTGTCGCGAATCTTCTCTCGAGCAATCTAGCCTCAGATTTAGTTGGCGATAACAGCAACCGTGTAACAGCTCTTACTTTTCCTTTCTCCAATTTATTATATTCGAGGTCATTGCCCTCCAAATCCATAAAAATGTCCAATATTTCATCAACAAACGTTGTATCCCATCTTACTATGGAAAAAAATAACCTCTCTAGTAAAGAACACCTTGCGAGAAACGAGACAACGGACGGAGATAGATTTATTAAACGAGTAAAACCGAAGGTTCCAGAAGTTGTGTAAGGCCTTTCTGTACAATTTGAAAATATTGATTGATGAATATTTTTGGCTGAAAATATATTAAAATGCCTCTCCAAAGATTCCCGAGGTGGAAGACCAGAAACTGGATACGGAGTTCCAGCACATCTAGCAATTTCTTGAAAGAGAAGCTTAGGAACCTGAAAAATATGAATTTACTTAAGAATACATGTAACAAAAGACTAAAAAAAAGTAAAAATTCCATAGTAAAAAAACAGCTAAAGAAAAATGCACCTTGTATGATATAGGATTACAATCTCCAGAGTAGCAAACGTCCTCTAATTCCCCGAAGGATGGGGGAAGCAGAGAGTTGGGTATTTCTGCAAAGTGCAAGTATGAGCTACCTTCATTTCGCTCAAATAATTCAGGGTGGTTGCACACCTATCATTTAACAGAAAGAGAAAGTTCCTTAGTCAGCATTATCTCATCTTGAAAAAACAAAAAAGCATATTTTGTAGCAGAAAGGTGCAAATCATAGTTCCACACCAAAAGTTTCTCAATTTCAGTTTGATAATGGAGGGATGAAGCAAAAGAGAATTTAATAGCCTATTTTTTATTTAATGTCCCCAAATACAAACTACAAGTTGTCAAAGAAAAAGTACCTTGCGTAATTGAATAACAATATTCATCAAATTAACAATTTTTTTTTCATTTAGATGCCCACGATGCCCATCTAGAAGCTCAGACAATGAAATTTTGTTCTTTATAGCTTGATAAAAAGCTTGTTGTCGTGAACTTAGTTTACAATGCACCGTGATTTCCTTCTTCAAGGTCATTTCTGATATGACATCTTTCTTAACTCTCCGCAACATGAATGGCTTAAGGACAGCATGCTGTAAGAAAAGAAATTATAATTTTCAGCTTCGCAAAAAGTCAAATAAATGGCTCATTGTTATCAAACTATCCGACAAAAGAACCAGAATATTCAGAAAATAAGGCAAATTTGAAGGTCATTTTTAAAAAAGGCACTGCAAATAAGACTAGAACGATATTGTATACAATATTTCCAAATAATAAAATATAGGAATAAACAAGGACTAGTTTTAGACAGCCACCAGCAGGAACGATATTGCATACAATAGTTCCAAATAATAAAATATAGGAATAACCAAGGACCAGTTTTAGACTGGCCACCAGCAGGTTAATAGCCAGAAAGTTTTAAAACATGAGATTCAAAAAACTTTTTCCTTCTCATCATCATTAAATCTTCTCATCTTCCATTCTTTTCTTTATATAATTATCATTATTATTAAAGCAGTAATCATCATTTGCCTTAATCCAACAATTTAAGATCTACTTAATTAACCCTGCACCATTATAATTAGTGCATGGGGAGTGAGCAATGCCTAAGACAAGTTTTTTATGCCATTTAATCAGAATAGCGTATCAAAATGAAAAAAATTATATAAAAGAAATAAAAAAATACCCAGTCTGTTAAGCTGATGCTCATTTAAGCTGATGCTCATTTAGAGTACCTCCATGCTCTGCGTGGCTCTCAATGCTGCCAAGGTTAACCAGAGCAGAATGAAATACAATATTTGTCACAAAAACGAGTATTTACATACATACTACCCAGTCTATACTTCGATTTTTACATGTATACCATCCAGATCTTTCATATCACATAAAAATACCACTATTTTAACTTTGAAAAGCATAAGGTGGTCAGCATGCAAAATATGAAGTTCAAGTGTGGCATAAGTAAAAACAGAAGAATTTTGCAGTATGTATGTAAATCTTCCAAAAAAAACAAAAAGAATGCAAGTAAGATGTAATACCCCTTCGAAAACCATTCATTAAATTGCTCGTGACTATCGAACAGAGTTGGCATGATGAAATGAAGAAGGGCCCATAACTCTGCCATGTTATTTTGTATGGGGGTTCCAGTCAAAAGCAAGCGATTTCTACAGTTGAAGCTCAGCAATGTCTTCCAACGTATGCTGTACAAAGGAATCAAGAAAAAGGAAATGCATCACGTAAAACAATTCCTAAAACATGAATTAATCTACGTGGCACTTATATACTTAGGACACAATTCTTGTGCATTTACATATCTCACAACTAAACTTTTATATTAACACACATCACTCAAATATTTAATATCAAATAAAAAATAGCATTATTACAACTTTTTAAAGGTGAAATACAACTTTTCATGCATAGATTCAAAGCACTAAAAGTGTTATGTATGTAGATATGAAAGTTTAGGCGTGAGATACGTAAATACATAAGAATTGTGTTATGTATGTAAATTACCCTTAATCTAATCATGCCTGGTAGTCACATTTCCTCATGACAATAATCAACAGGATTACAGAGAGAAACATGCTATAACAAATGAACAAAAATGTTGGCAGTAACAAAATCAGAAATGCAGGTCAGCAAACCTATTTGAACTCTTTATGGCTTGCGCTTCATCTAAAACCATATATTGCCACTTCACCCGACGCAAATATTTCTCATCAGTCACCAGTAGCTGATAGCTCGTAATCAAAATGTGAAATCCCGCTTCCCTAAGAAGAACAAAGTAAAAATTATTCAATGCAATAAAGAATTCAGACAGAAATTTCTTAAGAGACAAAATTTACCATTTTAGGAAAAGAATAGGAGAAATAGTGTACCTTCTATATAGGCGCTTTGGATTAATATTTTTCCTTAGAACCATCCTTTCAGAAAGTGCACCCCAGTATGGAAGTGTCTTTAAATCAGGACAGAAACGATTTACTTCATCAGCCCAATTATTTAGAACGGATGCGGGTGCAACAACCAGAAAAGGGCCCCATATATTTTTCTCCTGCAATGAGTTGAAGAAAAAGGAAGAGTTATAATAAACCCCAATATCCCAATAAAATAAAAAGCATGTTGGTGTGAAATTGTAGTCATTTTAATCTCCTTAACTATTTTATGAGGATCCCAGATATTTAATGTGTTCAATTTAATCTATTAAACCGGCAAATATGTTCAAAATAGTCACTCTAATGGGTTATTTTGGATCAGAGTTGAGAAATCAATTAGACTATTTTGGATCAAATTTAAGGAGTCCACAGACTTAATTAAACACGTGAATAGTCTGAGATTAGAACAGCTCATAAATAATACAAGGACTATTTCTACCATGTTCTCACTCTTCTACTATTCAGCTATGCTACTTTGGAGGTTGTTGTCCCAGTTATGAATCATTCGTTGTAATTCCTTAGATTCATTATTTATATGGAAATTCTTGCACTAAAAGCAACTACTATGCAATTTGTCTTCATTATAATATCAAATTACTTTGATATAACCAAATAACAATTAAGATAATTTTATTATTTTAACATTTATCTCATTATTTGAAACATCATATAAAATATTATAATGATCAATGATGTCATCTCACTATTTCAATCTTATTTGAAATAGTAATTTAATCTTCACTCCATTTTACATTTAGCTTTAACAACCTAAAAGCTTATAACAAATTAAATTTATCATACATAAACGCGATTGCATTCATAGTGAAATTAACACCGCTTGTCACAAAATTATGCATAAAAAACTAAAAAAACATACCAGAGACTCCAAATCACTACTTCCGCGCATCCTTCATCCATCTATCACACTCAACTCAAATAAGACCTCGCACTGACTCCTAATCAACATGATCTTGCTCTAATCTAGTGCTCGCATAAAGACAAACTACTCTCAAGCAGTCGGCCTTGCAACCCTAAACACTATAAAGCAACACTATAAAGCCGAATGAGCTAAAGAGTTAAATGAGTTTTTGTGGTTAATCGAAGAGATATAATAAATATGTATGACAAGTATTATATTATATAACACATTAATATTATATTATATTGTAATATAATAAAGAAAATTATGTAAACTCATTGAGTTATTGCCTCGAACTCTAGAATCATCTGCTTATGCTAAAAAAAGTGTAGCGGCAATGAGACATAAGTCCTAAGACATTTGTTTGCGCCTCGGATCGAGACATGCCTCAACGAGTGCCCACCTTGGATGATTTTTTTAAACGATGACTTAATTGACTAAAATTCCTTTCAATTTTTTACCTTGTGTGTTAAAGTTGTATGTGTGATTTCTATTAATACTATGCACTATCTATCTTCAAGGGAAGTCATTTTGTACTACCATCAGGTTCGTATTTTACTTAGATAATTTCTTTCTTTGACATAATTTCTTTAATATAATATATTATTGTTTCTAATTTTTTTAATTTTAGTCAAGTTTTATGCAATTGGAATTATAATAGTGACGAAACTGCTAATTAATTTTGTGTGCTTCAAATTCTCATTAATTTCTTCAAAATATACAACTATCGCATTACCATTTGGATTTTTTTTTTTTAGATGGTCTTCTAAAAAATATAAACACTTATTTTTCCCTCAACAAAAAACAACAAACCTCAGCTAAATGAGCCAAAAATGCCATGGCCTGAATCGTCTTTCCTAATCCCATTTCATCAGCAAGGATGCCATTCAAACCCTTCATAGTTGAGAAAAGAATAATGTCAGATAAAAAAGCTGATATCCTACAGAATCTCATTAACAAAGTAGAAAGACATTTTTTCAAGCCAGACCATTACCTGTTCATAACAATTAACAAGCCACTGCAACCCTTTTAATTGATACTCTTTGAGAATGCCTTTGAACAGCTCTGGCGTCAGTACAGAAGATTTTATGGGCATTGTTGATCTGCAAATAAAAATTTCCTATTCTTTTCATTAAGAGCAAAGTTCCAACAGAAAATATAGGTGGGGTGGAATCATGAAAATGTTGGAAAACAGAATAAGTAATATGTTCATTCTTAGTTGTTGTTTATGAATAGAGTTCTTTGTACTTAACGGGTGCAGAAGGTCCATGTTTGAAGATCCCGTAATCAATGATTCATTTGCTGCATCTGTAGGTTGAGCAGCTTGCCTAAGCTTCATGCATTCAGTGTCAAATTCATCTGTTATCTTCCTCTGCTGTGATGCAGCATGCTGTGCTGCTTTTAGAGCTTGTTTTTTTAATTCAGCTTCTTCAGGATCCTCTTCTTCTCCAGATTTAATATCTGCACTTCATTTCTTTTCTTGATCTTCACCCTCCGCAGCAGGTAAGGTTTCAGTGGGTTGTGAGGAAGTTTTGTTCTGCATAAAATGACTGTAGAGCTCTGTTTGTGATAGTAGAAAGTTGAGCCTCTGCTGCTGCCTCTTCGCTTCTCGAAGCTCTTCTTCACGCTTCAGAGCTTCGGCAGCATCTCGTTCCTCCTTTTTCCTCACTTCTGCCTGTTCACAGAAGTTTAATGTTAAAAATCATCTGAAAGATCCATTATAACAAGATAAAATAATTAAAAGTGAACAAACAACTAGCAACAAAAGCTCTTAAAAATAAGGTGAACGATCCATTTTTGCTTTACATGCATAAAGTATCTACTAAGCATCACATACAAGTATCTTTTGCACTTGTATGCATCATTATAAATCATCATCACCAGCATTAGCCTTATCCTAGTTGTCCGGGATGGCCAATTTGTGTGAATAAACTCAAATATGCAGTTTGGAGTAGACAAATTTTCAGAAGAAAAAATTTAAATTTTGATATTTGCTCAAGAAATGCAAGATATATGACTCATATGTAGTAAGTGTGTGTTAAAATATGGAGCATACAATATCGCATGGAATACCCAAATTAATTGCTGGTGGTACAAAATGTTAATCTTTGCTAAAGGATGTATTTTGATGGGGGATTTACCATACACGACACACAATTCTTATGTATTTACATATCTAACACCTAAAAATTAATATTTACAAACATAAAACTCAAAACTTTAACATTACATAAAAAATGCAACTATTACTCACTTTTTTATAGTGAATATACATTTAAATGCATAAATTTTGATGTGAATAATATACTAAAGTATTATACATGTGGCTATCAAACTTTGGGTGTTAGATATGTAAATAGATAAGAATAGTTTGGTATGTATGTGAAATTTCCTATTTTAATTTAGGAGCAGTTACGATACATCAAACTATAGATTGTAGTTATATAAGTACATAAGAATAGTTTGGTATGTATGTGAAATTTCCAATTTTAATTTAGGAGCAAATTTGATACATCAGCTGTAAAATCATGGTTATACCAAATTAATAACTCCCTAAAACCATGAGATGTTGCTCCTTGTCATTTATTTTAAAACGTTCACAGTTCAATTTATAAGCCATTTCAATGCTTCAATCATCTTGCTCCATGTGACTTATGCTTTATAAAATTGGTGGTTCATGATCAAGCTGAAAATCTTGGAATCAAAGATTGATTCTCACAATTGTGAAGAGTACTAAAAAAATGTGCCATATAAACTTCTACAGAAAATAGATTTTCACATATAATTAACATTCACTAAAACAAACACATCTACACCCAGTCAAATTCATATTATATTTCTTCAGTATTATCGATATTGCTAAATGGATAGTATATCTTATTTGTAATTCAAATCATAGCCATCCTGCACATGATGTTTCTAAAGGCAAAAGAAAAATGATTACTGTGGTGCGAGTGCAAAGTAATTCATGCTCATGAGACTCAAAACTTAACTAAAGCGTGGCTAATTTTGGTATATTCCACAAGACTTATAAATACACTAACTTCATAGGATCACAAGTACTTTGAAAAGATAATACCAATAAGTTTAACAAAGAGTTTGCAAACGCTTAAAAAAGAATCAAGTAATTTAAAAAAATAAAAAGAGTTCACCTGCTCTTTATCTATTCTCTTCCACAATATCAGCACGTCTCTAGCTAGCTTCCTTGTCCGAATTGCAGCAGTTCTCATCAGCTTTAGAGACCTGCTAACTTTCACTTTTACCTGATAAAAATAGCATTGTTAGAGGCAAAAAATAGAGAGAGGCTACCCAATAGATAAGGAGGAGAGAAGACTGAGACAAAGCAAAAAATTAACTATTGCAACTAAAAAAAGGGAAATTTACATACATAGGACAAAATTCTTATAAATTCAAACACCTACAGTTTGATATCACTTTGGTGTCATAAAACTATACATGAAATGGTGTACTTCACTTCTAAAAAGTTAATAATGGTGGTATTTTTTATGTGATGCTAGAGTTTTAAGCGTCATAAATGTAAATATGAAAGTTTAGGCTTTAAATGAGTAAATACATAAGAATTGTGCGGTACGTATGTAAATGCCCCTTAAAAAATGACCTTTAGAAAAGAAAATCAAACCTAAGCAAGATACCTCTTTTTGGCAGTTTTCTGAGCAGCGCTTGGCATCAGCTATTTGCTTACGAAACAAGTTTGTTAATGTCTTGTGATGTTTAGGAATATCTCGTCTTGCAATAGTAACCCAAACTTTCCCAATCTTATCCATCTCCTCTCTTTCAATCACAGATGGATCTTTTTTCACTATTTGCATTTTAGGCAAACTGCGCTCAACAATCTGAAAAAAGTAAGAAAAAGATATCACACTTCGCAATTATTAGGACAGAAAATGAACCCTGATAAAGTGGCAACAACTCACCTCATATGAGTCTCCTCTTTCCAATACTTTCACATAATAAAGTTGCAAGGTTCCAGACTCTGACATAATTAGCCTTCGAATCCTACCAGCTGCACCTTCAGGAATTGAGTAAGGATCCAAACTAACATCAACTTTGAGAGTGAAATCTTGATTAGAGTTATTTGATGAAAGAGCCTTCAATCTGGCTTGGAGTGATTCATATTGGGGTTGAGTTTCACTCAAACATCCTCGATTTTGACCATCTTGTCTCCTATTGGAAGCAATCATAGCTGCTAGAGATCTTAAATCCAGATTATCTTTAAGGAAATTCTCTTCTATCTTGATTTCTGAATAACTTGGCAGCTTAAACAAAGTCAAAAGCTTATCATAAGTTGGAGGGATACGATATGTAATTCCCTCCCCAATATCCAAATAAGAAGAATCCAATGAGGAAGGAAACCTATGGCTTCCTCCATATTCTGATTCAAAATCACCTTCATACCATTCAGGTGACATATCCATCTCATGAAATGTCTTTTCCTCCTTCACAGAAACTAAAGATTCATTGCCCAACTTCCCCCCTTTCAAGCCATGATTCCTTTTAGAAATAGGCACAGCCATTCTTGCAGTGCCTGAAGCTAATGAAGAATTATTAAGCTTCACTCTCCTGTACTTCTGCACATGTTCACTAAGCATTGATCGATAATGCTCGTCAGAGATTCCAGTTCCATATTCATCACCATCATCTTCATTGTCTTCAGCTTCTTTCCTTATGAAAGAGTTCAAACCACCATCAGAATCAAACATCGTGTTGTTCTCCTAGTTAGATCCGAAGACCTGTCGATTACAACAACATTTGAGCGATCCAACAAGGTTCCTCGTCCTGACAAACCCAACACAAATAATCAGCAATATGAAGTCACATTAAAAAAGAAAAGCAATCCGTCATAATTAATTGGGCACCTTAAAGAACTCATCCTCATATCTAAATCCAAAATAAACTTATTATTCTCAAGCAAGAAACAAAACTCAGCAGCTATTAACTAACTAAATTAAACTTGAAATTAGCAGAAAACAAAACTGGGCAACCTGAAATATGGCTAATAAGTATACCCAACCTTCGCTATCCTCGCTCTCATCCTTACCACCGTTGGGAGTTAATAGTTCGTCAAAGACTGCATTGAAACCAAGAAGAAAAAAAAATAAAATAAAAATCAGCATACAAACATAAGATTTCAATGAACTAAATAACACCTCCAAGCACCGAAACATGTCCTCAAAACATTTGCACAACTCCTATCAAAACAACAAGAAAACTACCACCACATAATTTTATAATAGAAACAAAAAGAAACAGTTTGATTGCTAGCGCAAGGCTACCGTACAGGAATTACAATCAAAACCACGGGCCGCAAATTCAGAACATAACCTAGGAAAAGCCCGTGTTCCCGGTGGAGAAAGAACCAACGACCTCCCTAACTACAAAAAGGAAGAAACAGAGGATTACTTCTAGTTGCCTCACCTCGGCTCCATGATCGGCCTCGACTTCAATTCAGATGTACAGGACCGGAGGAGACGTGAGAGGAACAAGAACAGCGCGAATTATAGGGAAGTCCTAACCCTAGGTCGGCGTCTAACGACTGAAACGAGGGAGAGGAATTAGAGTTGCACGAAAGGGATGTCACGTGACAGAAGCACGTGTGACCTGGCCAATGGAGGTATAGAGGAAACGAGAGGAAGCTAGGGATGCAAATTGGCATGGCGAGCGTGCGACGAGACGAAGATAGAGAGAGAAAGTTGTAAAGTTGTGGAGGTGGAGAGAGAAGCATGTTTCGGAGGCGAAAGATGCTATCGTGCACCGGTTAGTGGGGCCCGTTATCCTGCGCCCAGGGTTTCAGGAGGTCCCGATTCCAGACGATGAAGGGGAAAAGGGTATAATCGGTAATTTAATTTTGTCCGCTAAGGCAGGTAATTTAATATTTTATAACTTTTGCAAACACTGAATAAAAAGAAGTTATATTTCTTCTATTTTTGTAAAGATTTCTATCGTAAATTTAGAGTGTTTTATTGTAATCCCTTTCAATATCTCTTCACTGAATATCTTCATTAATATCTTATTTTAAGTCAAATATGTATGTGTATACACCAATAATATTAGCACTAATCTCAAAGTCATTAGCACTAATCTCAAAGTCATTAAACAGCCCAAACGAAGGTCAGGAAAATAGAACATCATAACACCCTACCACCGTCTGCTAGGGGTGTAAACAAGCCGACCATGAGTGAGCCCAAGCTCAGCTCGTGCTCAGCTCGTTTATATTTCGAGCTCAAAAAGTGTGTTCGTGTTCGGCTCGTTTGTTTAGCGAGTCGAACACGAGCCGTTCACGAACCAAGAGGTGTATTTCAAATTTAATGTAAATCATAAGATGTTAAAGGATTTTGGTCGTATTAAAGACTATCATGCAATGCATAAAATATCATTTGAATCTAATTTAATATTTTTTTATTCATTTTCTTAATCAGTACTTTTAATTGATAATAAATTTTTGTAGCCTTGCAATCAATTAAATTTTTTAAAAATATTACTCATCAATATATATATATATATATATATATAATTGATGAGTAGTATTT